TAGTTAATTTATTATCCATAATTAATAATCTATTATAAATGATTATCACTTATCATAAATGAATTAGATTAGATTTGGTTAGACATAAAAGTTTAATCAACTTTGCCAATCCTTTTGAAATACCTGAAAATTCTTAATAAAAGACGAAATAAATTATACTTCTTAATGATATTAGGATATATTCTATAATTAGTATATCAGGATTATAATTAAACATATGGAGATTCATTTCAACTTCATTTGATAAAATTTCTAAATTCTGATATTAAAGTATCATTAAAACCATTTTTATTTAAATCTTTAAATGGAGGAAATCTAACATTTTAAACTAATCAAAGATCAACCAAAATTTAAACAAACACATTAAATTAGTTTTATTTGTTGAATGCTTATAGTTGTTGTTACTTTACTTCATTAATTTATATTTAATATTGTTGTAGTAATGTTTTTATTATAATTATTGGATAAGTGTTAATTTTATATTTTAGTTTCCAATTACTAAATCAAAATGGAAATACTTTTTTATCAAGATACACTATTTCATTTTTGGTTGTTCATTCCAAATCCTTTACATATATAAAATTACGATATATATATCTAATTTCCAAAGAAACAAACTATCCTGAAGTATAATCTATATTAATTTCAATGTCATCACTTTTCTATTTAAGTTATTTAATAAAATTTAAATATGAATATTCAAAACTAATAATTAGAGTAAGTTTATTTGGTCTTACAGCAGGGTCATTATTAGTTTATAATTTTAATATCGAATAATATTATGTTTTATTATTTGAATGGGTTCATATCTATTTTATTCTTTAATTTTAGTCTCAAATTTAACTATCGATTTGATTGAATGCATCAAAACTACATGGATCAATTATAAAAGAAAATAAGACTTATTATTAGTAAAAGAATAAAAAAAGTTTTATGTCAATAAACTATTGAACCATATAGAAATAAATTTTAATGATAAAAATTTAAACGATGAGGAACAATCAATTTAATGATTTATTTATAATATATAAGAAAAGAATTCAAAACATAATAATTATACATTACAATTATAAAATTATCATAAATGAGAAGTTTAAATTTATATCATTTTAAAATTTGATTACTTATATATAAATAAACAAATCTTAAATAAGATGATACCAAGAGGTTATTAAAGCTAATCAAAATCGATATAAAGATTTAAGGAACTTTGAAATCAAATACTAATTGTCTTAATTATTCATAAATTTATTTATTCAATATAAGTCACTTTTAAATTACTCTTAAATTTGATGGTTTTAAAATGTGGTGCTAAATTTTAAATTTTGCTATCAATGGGCCTTATCATTTCCTCATAAGCTTAATTAGTTTTAATTCAGACTCAGATTCTTAGATTCTTGTGGAATTTAAAAATGATAATAAATTTGTTAGATTTTTAGATATGTTTAAGATTTTTTTGACTGTAATTTGATACTTGAAAAATAAGTGATGCATTGGACGGTTTGATTGATTTATGACAATCTAAATGTGTAAAATTTTTAAACCTATAACTTAATTTAAATTAAAATACCTTAGAATGGAATCGTTTTTAATAAACCTAGCAATTGAATTAATATTCTTAAACATATTTAAGAAGATTGTACATTAAAGTGTTATTGAATTAGACAACGCTCTTGATAGTACCATAGTTACATTCCAGAATCTTTAAAGATTGAATGAAGTCATAAGAAAAAAATTATATATAAAATTTTATAATTCTTGATATTCTTAAATTTATTTTTTTGTTTATAAAGTCTAACCATTCTTTTGAATATTTTCAGAAGAAATGAATTAGAGTTTTACTTTTCTTTATGTAAATAAAAATATTTGTTAGAAAAAGAAAATTATTCAAATCTAAAATATATAATACTCGCTTATTTACAAGAATAGATAGGGTGTTTTTATGAATAGTTTGATCAAGAAAACCTTATTAAAAATTAAATGAGAGACTCATATCAAAAGTATCAAAAAAAACAATAGACAATAGTTGATTTTATATTAGCTGAAAGATCAGATTAAAATATTACATGTAAGGTTGTTATTAGTTATTCAAATTATATCAAAAATCAAGCTTTTTTTAACCATTATCTGTACATTTGTATTTAAACCAAGCACAAAATGACATCTAAGAACAATCATATTAATTATGGTAATCAGAACATTTTTTATCGTAACAAAGCTTTCTTTTATCATTCCAAATACAATAAGCAGCAGGACATTTTCCAGCTTCATTTGCTTATAATTAAATACAAGAGGAATCCCAACAAAAGCCATTCTACCAAGTGCAAGCCACCTAAATAAGTTAATTGAATACAATCTTCTCACATCTACTATTATTCTATTCTTCTGTGCATTTTTTAATGAAACAAGACGAAGAATTTGCTAACCATTTACAATTTGCAGCATTATTACAAATATTTTCATTTTCTAATTAACTACATATGTTCTAACATTTTGAAGGTTACCAATAATTCCATTCACATTTTGAATTTTCATTACATTATTTTTGATCTGTTATTTCATCACATTATTAACTTCTAACACAAACTAATTGTATGAGTATCCAATAAATAAATAGATATAAATTACACATTTTCATTAGGATTAATAATGTAAGTTTTATAAGATCATTTATATATTAAGAAAAAAAGATTGTCAATTAAAGATTTTAAAACTTTTGATTAATTTTGAATACAGTATTATTTTTTATTAAAAATTATTAAGTTCAAAATAAAGATCAATTATTCTAATTATTTTTATTATATGCTCTTAGTTAATTAGCATTTTCATCTTAAATAATTATTTTGGATGATAATTATAAATTATACATTCTGAAGATTTACTATAACATTTTCTAAATTTTAAACTTGTAATTTAAATTTATAATTTTAGAAATTACTTAGAATACTTTAAAAAATACCATAAGCCAAGCTTGTAATTTTATTTTACAGTTAATATTAGCATTAAAGTTTCAAATTCAACATTTATTTTTTTTATTATCAATAAATAATTTAATTGAATATTTGTGAAGCAAATTCTTGATAAATATAAATGGAATTCCGAAATTTCAGCAATTAGATTAACTATAGAGATTTAGTATTATTTTATTAATTGTAATTTTCAAATGAATGGATATATTTAGAAGAATGTCAAAACAGCTTATTTTGATTGATTAGTTATTTAATTAATATCTAACTAATCAAGAAAATAGCTATTTTCTTTGACAATTTCCCTTTAATATCATTAATAGATTTATATCTTAATCTTAAATTTATCCGATTATGAACTATATCTTATTGAAATCAAAAGAAAATCTTTATTTATTTTTTATTATTTGAATCTACTTTTCTTTTTGAATTTAAACTATTTAGTTTGAAGTTATTTTAACATATCAATATTTGTTAATATACAAATATATATTTTGGGAGCATCTTATATGGAAAATTCCCCTCATTATTTTTCTTTAATTTGTTTATGAAGTTATAATATTTTTTAAAATTTGTGGAAATTAGATAATAAAGTATTTTACTAAGTAATTTTTCAGATAGAAGCTATAAGGATAAAATAGATATTAAATGGTGAAAATTTTATTTAGTATTTAAATTAAGATTCTAATTAAATTCAATGTCTCTTGATAATTTCCATCTTCACTTATGAACTCTTCTTTACTAACAAAATAAATTGTTTTAAATATGCAGAATTCAAAGGTGAAGAAAAAATATAAAAAATTTAAATTAATATATTTTTAAATTAAATTAACTGTTTGAAACTTCATATATTGTGAAAGTAAATCATAAAAGCATATTTATCATTTTCTTAAAATATAGATATTTTTCAATTTATAAATTATGCATTGGAGATTGAGTAAATATATATCTAGATATTATTTTAAACTATTCTTTTGGTAGTTATTTATATCAGTTTTCATGAGGAAATATATAAATAAATCACTTTTGATGAAATAATTCTGAAATTCATATTATTTTAATGAGAACATTCAAAAATAAAAGTTAAACAATTTTTAGCGAAAGAAATCAATTTACTATTCTCTTCATTAATTAATAGTTTCAATGCTGTTGAAATATATTAATTGAGAAACTATGTAAAAATTGGACATATATGTAAAATTAAAATTTGATTGTATAGTTTTATTAAAAAATAAATTATCTTAAAGTTTTCCATTAAATTTTGTTAAGTATTTATGATTAACTGTTAAATTTGAAGACTTTATAAGCTTTCTTTAAGTCACAAAGTATATTTTACTAAAAACATATTTAAGTTGGTTAAAATAATGATGATGTTTCTTGTTTTAGTGAATTTATTTTACATTTTCATTTAAAATTAGAGAATTGCTACGAATGTAATGTTAGAATGAATCGATAAAATTTAACTTTCATTTTTTTATCTATATGTAAATTTAAGATGATATTTATGGAGAAAGATAATTTTATTATTTTTGTTAGACTTCTTTCCTATTGATATCCTACAAAAAGTAGTTTTTCATAGAAATTTGATTACTATACGACAATAAATCTTCTCAAATGCTATTAGGACTAATTAATCAAACTTATTAAGAACATTTAGATTTGCCAATTATTTTGATAGGAATTTAAGTTTTTGATTTTATTTCTTATCCAAAATATTTGTAAATTATTTAAACATAAATCAATACATTAAAATATTTGATTGAGCTTTTATTTTAATGTCTAAAAAATCTAAATGTGTTCCTCAGGATTTTGAATTCAGACACTTACTAGATATTATTATATGTATTTTTATCTTAATTTCAATAAGTAAATCTATATAATATTTGATAACATATTTAAAAATAAAATTATAATCAATGATTCAGTTTAGAAAGTAAGTAATGATTTATGAAACAAAAATAAAAGGTAAATGATAATGATAATATTATTTTCATTTATATGATAATTCATATGATGAGTAAGCTCCTTTTTAATCATCCCAAAATACTAAATATTTTCCATTTTCAGAAACAGTGCCAAAACTCCATTTAGTACCACAATCTATCTCATTGTGAATATTAAATTTTCCATTAGTTTCCCTCAAGATATATATAATATTTTTAGATCTAATAAATAATACATTTTTATCTTTCAAATAAATAATAGGAAATAAGGCACATCCAAGATTCTTACTGTTATTAGCTAATTGTATTCTATTATCAATATCTTCATAAAATACTCCATCTTTTGATTGAAATAAAGAAATAAAATTTAATTCTTTAGAATAGGGTAGCCAAATAAATAAATTATCTTTTATAAATTTGATATGACAACCTGAAGAGTTAAAAACAGAAGTAATAACTTACTTAAATTAAAACTTTTCTGATTATCCAATTTCCCATATTATTATTTATTAATCATCTGCACAAGATACTAAAGTATTTTCACAATCATTTAAGCTTATTGCTCTAATACAATTATTATGTCTTACTAGTGAATAAAGATATATTAATTCATTTTAGTTAAAATTTACTTACCATACTATTATTTATTAATCCTCTCCTGCTGAAAATAATTAATTTTCATTTTTATTTAGAATCATACTTCCAATCCATCCTTTATGTTCTTTATATTATTATGATCCTTTCCATTCATTTTATTTAATTTATTTCCATACTATTATTGTTTTATCGTTTGAACATGAAATAAAACTATCTTATTTTTTACTGTAAATTATACAATAGATAAAATTACTATGTCCTTATAATGTTTATTCTAAATTAATTTTTCCATCAATAATATTCCATACTTTTAGATCAGAATTACTCATTGATACCATTTAAGTTCCATTTTTATTTAAAGCTATTGCATAACATTTAGTCTTTTGTTTAATTGAATCATCTATTAATTAAAGTGTAATTAAACTATCTAATTACTTTTAATTAGCAGTAGAAGTTGATTCATGAAATTATTCTAATTGAGTTTATAAATTATTTTATTATGATACCTTTTATTAATGAATCACTTCTTCTTTTACTTAAATATTTTAACCTAAACTTGACAGAATTTCCTAACATTTTTAATATATTTTAAATGAACTAAATTATTCCAATTTTTCATTTATTTTTAAATTCCAAAAACTATTAACTTTATAGATTTCATTCATTAATAAAGATTTATCAATTTAATTTTCTAATTATTTTTAAATTAAATTTTCTAATTCTTTATGAAAACTATATTAAGAATGTTCATGTCCAACAGACAATAAGTTTTTTATCCATCCACCACTATATCCAATTATTTCATCTAATTAAAATGCTATTGCTGACTTCAATTTATGGATATTACCTAAAAGTTCTTCTATTTATTTTATATTCAATTAAATAGTTTTCTCTATTGTTTCTACTTTCTCTTTTTAATTTTTCTTTATTTATTTTGTTACTAATTCATATCCCATTGTTGAAAATTAAGTTGTAAAGTTCTTTATACAATCTTAACACAAAAGTCTCTAATTTAATTCTAACTTTGGATCTAATACAACCATAAGAATAGGCTATTTGTGTTTATTAGCACATTTTAGATCTTTTTCTTTCTCTATCATTGAAGATTTAAACATTTCTTAAAAAAAATTATCATGATAATATTTTGCAGGCTTTTATTTTTATATATTATCTAAATGTATTTAATCCATTTTTAGTTTTCTTAGAACTTTTATTGTTTTTCTTATACTATTCTCCTTCCATTTTAAATCAAAATATTTTAAAAAAGAAAATCTTCTATAATTTTCTTCAAAATATTATCATGTATATAACAAAAAATATATATTGAGGTGGATATTTTTATTTAAATCATAATTTGTAATAACGACTTCATAAAAGATAAATATTATTGATTGATAACTCAAGATACCTTTATCAGTAAATTATTTTGTTAAACATTCAAAGATAAAATAAATTTGAATTAATTCTATGTTTTAATACTTAATAAGTTTTTAATAAATAATTGAATAAATTAGATAAATAATTAATTAGATAAAAACATTCTAATAAAACCAATCTATTGGTATGGGTTTTGAAATCTTACAATCATACAATTACATCTTTTTAATTTATTTTATTAATTTAAGTAAAATAGATGACTTTGGTGTTTATAAATAATTTCTAAAAATTCACCAAAAAATAAAGCATACTAGGATTAAAAAACTGAAACTTTTTATAAAAAGATAACTATCAAATGTTCTCTCCCGATACGAATTTGATACATAATTACATACTTAATCTTATTTTCTCAAGATTTTTTTCTTTTTTCTACCTTTAAAAAGTATTTCTAAACATCTTGTAAGCCTTTCTTCGGTTTTGATCCATTATTTAAGTAATTTACTTAACAAATGATTAAAGATTATTAATATTACTAGTGGATATCAATTTAATTCTTGATTAAATATAAACTTGTCAATAATCTTTCTTTCCTTTAAATAAGTTTTGTTTTAATAATGAAGAATTCCATCTAAATCTAATGAAGTATTTTCTTTTAATAATTCATTATTAATAATATAAATTAATCATAGCATTTTCATAAATAAGTTATTTAACATTCCATTTCTGATTAGATAATTCTTCTTTTCTTAACTTTTTTCAAATCATAGAATATTTATTTAACTTTACATATATTTAAAACTCAATTTAATGCTATTTTTTATTTTTTACCATAAATCTTTTAGATGCCTTATGAATTTATTTTGAGACATCAAATGAAAAGTTGAAAATACTTTTAAGTAATATAGGCAAACATTGAATTTCAAAAATAATCTAAAGAATATGATTATGAAGTAACTCTCGACTAAAGTATTTCAAATATATTCATTAAAGTATGAGGATATGTTTCAATTAAACTATTATTTAAATATATTAGGATAAATGAAATAATATACTATAGATCTCTAAGTATCTTATGGTATTCAAGTGGAGTACATTTAGTTTAGATTATAAATTATTCTTTCAAATTCCAATATGATTCATAAAGTATTTCACGAATTCTCTTAAAAATGCAACAAATTTTACTTGCTAAATTAATTTTCATGTTTTAATATATTGAAGAGATGCTATTTAATTTTTGTTTAATTATATTTGATTCCTATTAATATATTTTTTTTAATTATGCAATATTCAAAATCTGCAACCTTTCTACTTAATAATAATTTATTTTAATCTTTTTGAATATGAAAATTAAGGATTTTGGAGTATTCGTTTATTTTTTTATCCATTCTTTTGTTAATTAAATTTGTTTTTAGATTTCAATTAAATTTATATGTTGCTCCATAGTGCTCTTAGAGTAGGAATATGTTTAGATTTTTAATCCTGATATTCATAAAAAGGAGATAAATTGCAATTTCCAATAATTAATAATATTATATTTAAGTCTTTAAAAGATAACAAAGCTTTCTAAATCCAAATTAAATATTATTATTATTTTTTTATCATTTTGTGATTTTAAATTAAATGTCTTATTATTTATTTCTAATATCTCAAAAGATATAATTTGCAATAAGATTAAAAAATTTGTTTCTCATTTTGTTACTTTTCTTGTAAAACTTTACAATTATATCTTCAAAATTTAAAAGAATGGCTCTATCAACTATTATAATATAATTAATACTCTCTAACTTTTTTATTTTAAATAAAAGTGAGTGATGGAGTAATAAGATAATTTTCAACTAATTTAAAATTAAATCTTTTTCTGCACTTTCATCAAAGAATATCCTAAATTAAGAATTTTATTTAAAAATAATTGTATATTTTTAAGTAGCATTATTTTTATCATTTAATTTTCATTTCTCTTAATATATTTTGTTTATGTAAATCAACCATTAATTTGAGATTTAAGGCTACAAAAATATTTTTGTCTACTTTTTCTCATTAATTAATTTTAAATGGTAATTTTTGATATTCAATGCTTATATTTATATTTTGAGATAGGAAAAAGAATCTAAAGTTTTTGTACTATTTTTGAGTTTTCTTATATATGCTGCTGAATGTATTAATTATAATAAACAAAGAAAATTTATATATTATCTATGACATTTAATCATCCAATTGTTTGTATATTAAAATATAAAAATCAATATTATAATAATTAAAAAAAAAAAATTTAATAATTAAAATTCATACAGTCAAAGAGAATAATTTACTATTCCAACTTTTTATTTTCTTAGTAAACCTAATAAAGTTTGGATAGCTATGATGAAAGTAATGAAACTGTATCTTTTTAAAAGGAGGTTTTAAAAGTTTAAGCATTTTGATATATGAATTAATCCTATTTTAAATATTATTACCTTGCCTTAAAACTGAATAATTAGACTTTAACAAATTTATCGAATATTCATGGAAATTCATTTATTAATATTATAGATAACGATAAGAATATAAAAATAATGATATAAAATTTTGAATAGAAATCTGTATCCAACTTATTATCATGATGTAATATATGGCAATGATATAAAACTTTAAATTGTTAGACACAATTTATGAGTAAAAATCCTTTAAAATATTTATAAAAATGAAGAAATAAGTTAAAGACAAGGGAGGATAAATTTTATATTCTGAAGGTGAACAAAAAATTTGTGAATAAAAGATAGTTCTAAAAATGTCAAAATAAAGAATAAAAAAATATGTTAACATATAGAATTCAAACTAAGATATAAACTTTAAAGGAGGAAATTTCAAATAAAAAGAATTAATGATATCTGATGAATAGTAGACAACTTTGAAAGCAAAATTAGGTTGATGGGAAATAAATCAGTGAAGCTGTGTATTTATCGAATAATTAATAAATAAAATTCAAGAGCAGAATTGATCTTGCTACTTAAATGATTATTTTATACAAGGGAGATAATATTTTGAATTAATAAAAATGGGTTATAGAAAAGCAAAATGATATTTATGATCTTAGACTCATTTAAATACTCTACAAAAGCTATAATTTTTATATGAATATCAATAAAATATAAATTGAAATCTAAGATAGAAAATGCAACTCAATATTCATTTACTTAAAGAATTATTTCTAGGGAGTGATATATTTGAGAAAGGCAGTTTATAAACATTAAAACTTACAAGCAAAAAAATCATACTATTCATATATTTAATTTATTTAATCATTTGAAAATATAGAAAAGTTTTGGTTATTATTAGATTTTTCCAATCTCATATATTAATTTTAATATTCTTCTTCCATTCTTTAACTCATTGAAACATTAATTATCTTAAAATAGATTTTACTTTAAAGTTAAGCTTTTTTGTATCAGAATTTTACTAATTTTAATATACAAATTAATAAGAATTAAATATTTACCTTATTACTAAGTAAAAATATTTGCAGTCTAATATAATTTATTTTTTAGATAAATTTTTTCATGTAGAACTTTTAAAATATAAAGAAATTTCTAGAATCTTTAATTATATAAAAATATCTATGTAAATATTCATAAAATTGTTATTTTTGTAAATAGACTTCTCATGAAACAATTTGATAAATATATTCTTAAAATTAATAAAAACATATTCTTCTTCCCATATTCAATTTAAAGGGTAAATTCCCTATACTATCTAAATTTTACAATAATGATACTAAATATTAGCTAAAAATTAATATTTTGCTTCAGATTAATCTGTTAAATAGCGATCATTTATATGAATATTTTATATAATTTGCTTTACTCTAAAATTATTTAAACTTTTATATTCTGAGATGAATATATTTTTAATTTGTCGAAACGTAAAAATTTATTTCTTTTGCAAACATGAAAATAAATTGCATTCTATTAATAACTAAATGTAAATATACAGAAATTGAAAAAAGAATTAAGATAGCTTCAAACAAAAATCTATGATAATTATAATACCGTTATAACTATATCGATAGAGATTAATGTTTATGAAAAATAAAGTTAAATATATTTTATATAAAAAATTAGAAAATCTTGTCAATGATTTTATTCTTTTAATAATATTATTATTCTATCCTTTAATAGTAATAACAAATTTAAGACTTTATAATAGAATATTTATAAAAATATTCAGGTATTTTTTAAAATAATATTCATAATCATTAGTTGTTATTTATGTCTTTCTTGGATAATTTAACTTAATACGATTTTAATATCGAACTAATTTTCGTATTATGTTTAATCAATTATATTTTAGGTATGTTCTATGGGTCAATGTAGAAGGTTATTTTTAAATATTGATATTCGTTATTTTTACTCATTTTATAAGTGCCTCGCTATATTACTTTAAGTTTTATATACTCATTTTAAAAAGAATTTGATTTTAAACAAAGACTTAGATTTTAGATTTTTAATTAATTGCTATTCATTTTATTTAATTGTAATTTATTTAGTTTTAGCTTTTAATTTCAAAGATCAATTGATTTTTATCATCTTTTAATTTCTTTCTTTTATTGAGCAACATTTTTATTAGTTTAATTTTTAATTCTTAATCTATATCATTTAAATGTGTTTATTCATACTGCAAAAATTTTTGAAAATGAAATATTTTTATGTTTATTTTATAGGTAATATTTTGGATCAATTTTTAAAGCCACATCTATTACTTTTTTCAATAATTAGATATTATTATTTTGTCTTAATGAAGAGATAAAATCTTTAAATTAGTCATCCTCATAAATTTATTAGTAAAAAGTTTTTATTTTATGTTATTTTATATCTCATTCAATTATATTTTTGATATTTAATTTTTTAGATTTAATGTCAAAAAAAGATATTGAAAATAATATTTATTATCAAATAATTGAATCATAAATAAATATAAATTTAAAGAATATTGTGATTTTCAATGTCAAATCAATATTTATATTATTTTAATCTGAAATGGTTCCTCAATTTTGTTAACCCATGAATTGAACATCTAGAATGAATTCTAAGAATATTAATTTTAATTAATTGCTATAATAATTCATACTAGTTAACACAATCTCTGACTTAATTAAAATATTAAAAGTTCATATAAAAACTTGCAATATTTGAAATGAAGAGATAAAGTTAATAGTTTAATTATTTTTAATTTTTCAAAATAAGCATTTGTTTTATAAGATTAAAATTTTAAAATTATGTTTTTTATTATGAATAGTTTAATAATATTAAATCGTAATATTTGTATAAAATATTATTTTCTCATTAAGAGTTGCTGCTAAGTTATTTACGATATTAAGGGAAGAATTTAACTATTTTAAATCTGATGTGAATAATATGGAAATTAATGAATTTAAAGAATCTCATTTCAATTCAATTCTATTATGCATGAGTTATTTTCTAAAACTTTATATATTCTATACAAATAAATTAACTTATTTAAATAGCATTAAGTAAGCAAGAAATATAGATAAACAACATTTTTCATTAATAATCATTTATTGTTTTAAATTGAACATTTAAAATTTTTTATTTTCAAAGTTTGAAACTCATTAACAAACTAAATTTTGTTTATTACCTCTCTTTTCATTATATTGTTATAACTTAAAGGCAACAACAGCACTTAAAAGGACATTAAATGTGATTTTTCTTTAGATATTTTAGTTTATAGATTCTAACTAACAAAATCTCAAATATAATATTTTTATTAATAATCTTAAATATTAGTAATGAGTAACAGTATAAAAAGTTCAAAATAGTAAAAATTTAAAACATTTTTTTCTAATGATTAAATTTACTTTAATAATAACTTTTCGCATTCACTTTAGTAGATAAATAATTAATTTTTTTTTCATTTTTGATTAAAATAATTTACGATTAAATGTATTAATTGTAACTAGATAATAATCCAAAATTTTAGCAAAACATTTTATTAAATAAATAGAATTTTGAAACTGTATGGAATCTATTACATATTGTTAAATTATATATTTAAATATCAATTCATGCTCTAATATAAAGATCAATAAGTAAAATAATGAGTAATTCATTTAAAGGAAACAAATAAAGAATTTTATATTAATTTCTATTGCTGTTTTTTACATAGCTGCATTGATTCCTCTCATATTCAATGTTTTCTTACTTATTAATACCATAATATCGGTTAATTATGGTAAAATTATTATGATATTTATTGGACAAATTTTTAAAGGACGAGGATAAATTATCATTGAATTGATAGTTTTTGATGTAGATAAATAAGATCTAGAATAATATGTAGAAATATCGATAATAGCAGGAACTAATTTACTTTTATTTGGACCAATAATGTCGGTAGATTTGATTTGAAATTTACATATTTCCATTAATTAAATAATTTAAACATAATTTAGATTTTATTTTACCATGATTATTTCAAACGGATAAATATTATTATAAAATAACAAATAAGATGATTAGAAATTCAATTTAAAGGATTTAAACAAGAAAAATAAAATAATTTTTTTTAGAAACAAACAACAATAATAGAGATTTATTTATTCTATAGATTATCAATAAAATAGATTAATTAAATTTAATTATGGAAAATAGGATCAAATTTAGAATTAATATATCAATTTGTTAACTAGATACTATAAATATAATCAATAAGTACACCATCAAATCCATAAATCTAAGTGAAAATATTCGGGATGCATGATATATTTATCAATTATTCAGAATTAAAAATTTTGATATCAAATTTTCGAATAATTACATTTATTAAATTAATTTTTGAAGTATATATTTTCTAATTTATTATATTGTTAGAACTTTATCTATTATATTTAAGAATATTGAATTAATTAATCAATTTATCTTAATATATATAAAAAATTTTATTGTCAAACTGATTTAAAAATAATATAAATTTTTAATGATGCTAAATGATATCATATATATAGAATTATATAATTATTATGTTATAGTTGTTAAGCATATCTTAATAGGTTTTTTCAAAATAATCTAATTTATATTTGGTTATGTAATAAAAATTACCTGAGATTTTTATAACTTTAGTCTAGAAAATAATATTTATATAAGGTTGTAGCAATAGTATTATCATCATCTGGTTCTGTTATAGTGGCAATCTTTATTATTTGTAATAATTATTTGATGTATATAATGAGAACTGGAGTTATTATTTAGAAAAGAGCAGATTTGATTTTTTTAATAGGGAATATCAAAATATAGATTCTAGTCTAAGAAATATAGTTTATGGTACATATATTTTTTATAATAAAGAAATAAAAATTGTTATATTATTCCAAAATTTATTTTAGAATTAAGTGATAATTGATGGGACTACTTGAGGCAATTATTAATTGAGAATTCATCCATTTGACTCCACAAAAATAAAAGATTCATTCATCTGAATTGTAAAATTTTATGACTCAAAATTTTGATATTCTTCATATGATTCCATGGCCAAAGGTATATTGATCTTATGAAACATAGATAATAATTACATTAAGTAAAAAATACGAGCCATTATAAAAATGTTTTATTTTTTAATATATTTTAATAAAATTCTCATTATTGATTTTTAATCAGAATTTAAGTAAATTTTAAATTACATTATAAGTTATGATAATCATTGAGATTTTGCAAGGTATTAATAACTTTTTATTCAAATTATAAAAATATTGTGTAAAATACTTTATTTTATGGTGATCAAATCAAATTGATTTTCTTCTATTATTATAAAAAATAAAATTCTTACTCAAAGAAAAGTTTTAAAAAATGAAAAGATATTTAAGATAATATTTTGCAGATTTTCCAAAGTAAAGAAATTTTAAAGATTTGATTCAATAATAAGTTTATAAACAAAGAACTTGTTGTTAAAAAAAATAAAAACTATGACATTCATAATAATGAATTCAATAGATCAAATTGTAGTTAATTTTATCATTGCAATATTGAGCAATTAGATTATGAGTAAATTTAATTTTAGTATATTCTAGTTATTTCTGATCCATCAATTTTCTGTATTTTATATTTCCTCTTAAAATATCGAATATGATTCCGTTTGATTAATTTTTTTCTAAATTTTTATTCTCTTCAATGCCTGAATGAAATAAGTTTAATAAATACTAGATAGAAAGCAAGATCCCTAATATGAATAGAGATAACCATTAGTTCCTAATTTTGGTGCCTTTCTAATTAATTTACCTCTTCTAAAATCTATCAATTATGGTGGAATTTCCTCAAATTCATTACCAATAACAGCTAAACTATTATTTTAAGGTATTTTAACAACTTCTGATTAAATAGATTTCCAATAATAATATTTAATTACTTATACTTAATTTTAAAATTTTATAAGAAAAACTTAATTAATTATATTAATTAATAAAGCAAATGAATCATTAAGAAAATGAAAATTTTAAAAAGGATAGCAGTCTAATAAATTCTTTGGCCATCCATCTTTAAAATTCAATACAGTTTATATCTCCTAATTTTAATTTATTATATTAAATTATTGACGTACTATTTTATTTTATTTTGTTAAAATAAGTATTTAATTTATATATGGATCATAAATCAATTAATTGATTGGATAATTATAGGTTATGATAAATTATTTTCCCCAATGATTAATTAAATCCCAAAAAATAAATTACGGTTTTCCAGCATACAATGCATCAACAATTATTAAGTAATCCTAAGAAAATATAATAGGAGGAGCACCAATATGATCTGTTTTAAATGTAAATGATTAAAGTTTCTAATTTTTAAGGTCTAATATTATTATTTTATCTGAAACTTACCAAAAAGCAACCTATTTTGTACTCACTACTAAATATTATTCATTAGGACTAATTAGATACTATACTAAATAACTATATTTAATAGGTTCTAAGCTAGAATCTGACAAAGAAGAATCTAAAAAGTCATCCTAAATTTTATTTTCCAATTTTTCAAAACTTTCTTCTTTTTTTTTTGTTAATTAATTAGTATTTATTGATCCTAAATTATCTGCACTTTATTTATTTGTTTCTACTATCTCTTTCTCTTTTTCATAATAATTTAAAAAAAATGTTCCATTAATGCAGTTCTAATTTTGTTACACTAAGAATGTGCTTTACCAAAAATTTTGTATATCTTTCAACTTGTATTGCATTAGATTACTATTATCTATAACTTTAAATTATGTTTTCTTTAAAATTATTTTTTGATCAAAATTTTAAAAATTTGCAATTTGATTGGATAGGTTGAAAAATTTATGATATTCTGTCAAACTCTATGAATATGATCTTCAAATAGTGATGTTATTATTATTTGATCTAATTTATTATCTAATTCCTAAATTTGACTATTTCAAAAATGTATAAAGATCCTTTTAATTATTTCATTTATTTCTAGATTATTATTAATAAAAATAGAATATGGATTATCACTTAATTATTTGAAAAATAGTTGATTACTGAGTTTTGGAAATATACTCTAAAAACTATTAAATTTATTTTTTTGATGTATTATCCAATGATATAAGCTCCTATAATAGTTGCAATGGTTTTAATGAAAAGCTATTATTTAATTAAAGGTTTAAATACTTCAAAGCTTATTCATGATAACGTTATGAATAGCTTATTAAATGCTTCATATACAAAGTTTTATAATACAATTCTCATTGGGAGATTGATGAATAGGTTAAGTAAGGATATTTATAATATTGATTTATTATTTCCTAATGAAATTTAAAACTTAACATATCAATTAACATCCTTGTTATTACCATTATTTGCATGCTTCCTTTATTTAAACATTGCAGCATTACCTTTGTTAATTCTTTTTTTCATTATTCTGATATATTTAACAGTAATTTACTATAGATGTTTGAGAGAAATTACAAGAATTGAAGCTGTTTCTAAAAGTCCTGTTTTTTCTTTTTTTTAATAAATTGTTAGAGGAGTTACTTATGTTAGGAGTTGCTTACCAATAGAAAAAGTTGTAGCTTTATAATAAAAAAATGTTGATATTGATTTAGGAAATTAATTAAATTTGTACGGATTTTAATATTGGTATCAATCATTTGCTGGATCAATAACAAATTTCTTTTAAGCATTGTTATTTATAATTTGTGTAAAGTTTATTATTAATTAAGTTTCTCTTTCCAGGAAAGACTTAAAAAATGACTAATCTAGTCCTGTAATAGATGTAAACTGTTTCTAATTTACTTTTAAATTCTTCAATATCTTATGGAAATTTACAAATGTATTTTATCAGTTTTGAAAGATGTTTACATTTAGCAAAGTAATTA